ACGTATGTATTTTTAACATATTTATGGTTTTGTTTATTATTATTACTTCTTATCAATAAAAAAATTTAAATGATGCGTGGAATCTGAACAAATAATAATAATAAAAATATAATACTCACACAAACACATATAAGACAATAATAAACAACTTATTGGTGTGCTTAAGTAAGCGCTTTGGCAGAATAAGGGCTTGTTCCAGCATCCAAAGACTTTGGACCACCGAATTTCGGGAGAGAGCTCTTGTTTTAAAGCTCGGTGCTTAGAGCAAATGAAATTCGGGAAAGAATCCAAAAATAGCAACCTCGGCTCCCACAACGCACCAAATACCTTTCCTTCGCGTGTTGTCAATTGCAGTGGACGATGGTATTGCTCTTTGGACGGTTATTTGCAGCGACGCATGCCTTCATATATCACACGCTCGGGTACTCGCGCACACATGGGTGGTCACAAATCATTGGCGCACCGCAAAGTGTCAGTTATGCAGTGGCAGCGCCTCAAAGTTGTCGAACTATGCAAAAGGTTACTACCGCCATTCCAACACCACACAAGCCATTGGCGACACGAACACGGCTATGCGGACGACAAGCGATATTGCATCTGCATAAATGTCCAGCGGCAAGCCTGGCGAACGGTCGGTTGCCAAATACTATCGAAAAGCTGCCAAGTGGCTGTCGCCTCGACGGCTTCGAACGTCCGTACACATACCGCGTCACGCGAATATGCCAACAACAACAATGGCGGAATTTTATAAGAAATTGCCAATAGAATTGCGTATGGCCTAAAAGCAATTTAACGCGCGCGGTACGAGTGGCAGGAAGCGCAAGCAGGGCAGCGTGGCGATGGCGGTGCCGGGGAATACGGCGAATTTTATGGCCACTACGCGCAAAAACGTTAAAATGATAAATTGTCGAACGTTGCCAGTTCGAAGTTGTCGATATTTTTTCAGCGTCGTTGCCTTTGTCGCCGACGTCTTTTCTTTTTATTGTCGCTATTAGCTTTGGGTTGTTTCTAAATGCGCTGCCTTAGCTGCGTTTGCGCCCCTTGTTGCTAGCCACGTTGGCTATCGTGTCTTTGGTGGCCAACTGCTGCTATCACGGCAAGACTTGCTGCGCCTTACAGCAACAATAACATAGTTATGTTGTGCTTGGCAGCGATTTGTGGCAATGCCTTGCGGCGCGTCGAAAGCATTAGATGCACAATTTGTTTAGAGAGGCGCTCGAAGCGCCACTTTGGTGGCGGCTGTCTGACACCGGTGGTCAGTGGCCAAGCGTTTACCTGTTGTCGCGGACTAGCGCTGTTGCGGAGTGGCGCTGTTACCGTCCAGGCTGTCGTTGTTGCTGTCCACGATGCTCTATTGTTGATACAACGTGTGCTTACATGTATCTATTCACAGGTTTTCGTGTTAATTGAAAATTGCTGGCTAATGTTGCTTATCTGCTTATCGCTGTCTGCTTACGGTTGCACGCAATGCACCTCAAAAGCGACAACAACTACACGAGGCAACGCAGTATGCCACTATGACAGCATAAAGACAGAAATTGCATCAGCTGCCATTTAAGCAGCAGCTCGACAATATTCTTTAAAGTGACGGCGCTTACTGGCGGTCGTCGTACACGTACACACATACATTCGACCATGCAGGCATACACATGTACATATGCTTGGCGGTCAAGCGGTGACTGAGTGTAAATGTCCATACCACACCTCTAGCCAAATCAATTACCAACGACTACATAAATGTAGATTCTGTCAAATTTACACTGTACACACGCACACACGTACACACGTACATACGTACATGTAGATGTGTGTTTGAATGTGTGCCGAACAACTACTTGTGTTATTATTTATTATTTTGGTTGACAACATTCAAGTTTGAAACGCACTTAAAATTATCACCAAAGCAAATGCTTTTTTATGGACAGTATGTATGTACATACGTGTGTGCACATAAGTACATTGCGTACCCGCACTCCACCGGAAACTTGTTGCATGCATGTAATTGGACATTATCCGTCTTTCAGCCTCTTTATCAACCAACAATATTTTCTAAATTGCTTGCATAGGCGGCAAAAGCGGCGAGAAAACATTTTGTAATTCTTGATGGATAAGGCTTGTTCGACACGGATTCTCAGTAGAAACCAAATTCAATTACGAAAATAATATATGGCATTAGTAGTCGGGTCTTTAGTAGTGCGTACTGACATGCGGAAGTCCTAGATTCGAATGCTGACCAGACCAACATCAGAAATTATAGAAACTTAATGTAAATAAAAACAAGGAAGAAGAGCTGTCCTCGACCACGCCCTACGACTAAATATTATAGTCCCCCGATTTCGACGATTGTCATTGCTTGTTTATATATTTAATTGGCGCTTTATAATGGCTGAAGCGATTTTCGGCCGAGATTCTCCTCTCCCAATTTGTAGTTTTGCATCTTGATGTTTTCCCAACAAAGTTTATACTAAGCCGCCTCCGCCTAGAATACCAAATGCCACGCTCTTAGATTCTTTTTTAAAAACTGATGACCCAAAAACTAAAATCTTAAAAATCTGTCGTGTATTTGCTAAAGTGGTCCGACCTGGCCGATTCCGAATGTACTTTTAAGTGTACCAATTCATTTGTATGCCAAGTTTGTTGATCTTAACACTAGCTTCCGTACAAGAAGGAGGAAGGAAGTGTAGGAAGAAGCAAGAAGGAGATAAAAGTACATTAATTTTTCTATATGCAGTCACCCCTCGGCAGGGATTGTAAAGCCTTCTGAGTTTATTTCTGACATGATATGAAAAGCTCTCGATAAAAATCCATCAGCCGTTGAGAGGCGCGGAGGAAAAACTTCCAGTCCAGCCTTTTATTGGAAAAACATCACAAATTGGAGGAGGAGCTCGGCCGAAAATCACTTCAGCGGTTACAAAGCTCCAATTATATATATATATATATATATATATTGGAAAAATAAATACAAAATTTACTTTATTACTGGTGCTTAATATTTTTTAAGGTGTATTTATTATCAGAATGGAACGAACAATCAAAACGAAAAATAAGTTACACTTACTCAGCGGCACTGGAAGAATATCTAACATTCGTTCCCATATAACCCACTCATTCTCGGGGAGTCACACGCAGTGATTGAACCTGCTTAAACCCGAGTAATTCTCATATACCGGCCCCTTCTCCAGCATGTCTCAATATTCATTCCCCTTATCTTCTATCTTATCGCCATTGAGCCGTTAAGTCATACGATCCTGGCAGTCATTGACTGACACAAACGATAGACATTCTTTTGTGTAAACCAGTCACATCCTTTTGGAACCATTTTAATATATCAGATATAAGAATGTGGTTTTAACACAGTAAAATGGCAATCATCTCCTTTTATAGATGTCGCCTTCCTTTTATTATTTCAAATCGAAATTTTTGAGCGCAACTGCCGAATGGTTAGCATTGCATACCATCCTACAGAAGCCCAGGGTTTGAGTTCTGATCTGACCAAGCATTCAAAATTATTGAAATTTAATCTTTCTAATTGCGATCGTCCCTCGTTAGGAAAAGACGACTCCTCCGAGAGCATTTCCGACATGGAAATCAAAGCTCCTTAAAAATCCAGCGGACGTTCGGATGCGGCTAGTTCTCTCCATAGGAGCAGAAGCTTGGCCGAAAATCACATCAGCGGTTGCAAAGCGCCAATCATATATTCACATCCCACTTGTATTCATATGAATCACGTTATCAGAACGACGAGCGTTCTTTAGCTTCATGGTTTCGATTATGAAGACTCAGTATTCGCCTGCAGCCAGCGACCAGATTCAAATGGACGACTTTAATTTGTTTAAATGAAATACTCATTTAAAATTTATTGACAAACAAATTGAGTTGATTGATTTAAATGAATTTATGTGCGCACTGAGCTGAGTAAACCGCGTTGACTGCTTCACCCGTGGACGCTGCGAGACAATCTCAGGCCGATTGAGGGCAAAGAACTAAATGTGTTTGTGGAAGAAAATATGTACATTTGTATGTTGGTTGAGTATATTGTGGCAAGTGCAAAGTTCTATGTTTCTGTTCAGGGTTCAACGCCAAATCGAATCTGCAGTTAAAGTTCAACGCATCGACAGGAACACACAAACTCAATAAGGTCTTATGTTGGAAACTCGATTTTCCATAATAATAAAATTTTCCTCATCAGATGACTTGCAAGGAAAATTTCCGCACAAATGAATTTCGCATTTGCTCCGCGTTAAATTCGACTTTAAAACGCTCAGACGCATGGACTTCATTTCAAGGCGCAAGCGCCAACGTTTGGGTATTTGTGTGTCTGAAAAACCCAAGCATCGCACGCAAAGCAAAACTGCGACAAATCGGTTATTGTTTTTCTAAATGTGACTCGCCGCCGCTTTGAGCCAAAACAACAAATTAGTCCGAATGCTTATGCCATTGGCTCATCGACAACAACAACTCAATGAAATGTGATGCAAGTTTCACGACAGATGATAATGAATGCATTGAGATGCTGTCGGGGGGAGATAGTATGTGCATGCGAGTATGTATGTATGTGGCAGCGACAACGAATGAGATTTTTTAATTAGCCATTATGCAAACATTGGTATGGCATTTAGCATGCCCGCTTGCAGCTGGTGAGCGGCGGCTGGCCTGAGTGCCACAATAAACGACAATGAGGCATGGCCAGCAGATCGCGACTATTTGGAGCTGACCTCGAAGAGCATACGGCCGGCAAGCCAAATGTTCTTCCCTAAAATCTGACTTTGCTTTTGCAAGAGTATAAGCCTGGGCGCCTATGACCAATGAACCAATGTAGACTTGGACCATCTCTCGCTTTGTTCGGCGTGAATGAAATGTTTGCTACGTCTGTTTGCCAGTTATTGTCATCTTGTCATCGTCGTTATTGCAAGCGCTGTTCGATTGTTTTTCATGGCTTGCCTTGTTTTGCTTGTTTTCTGTTTAGCATTCGCCGTTGCTCATTGTATGACGCTGTTCGGTTTGAATAACAATTTCAAGCTTTAATTTTTACAATACACTTTTACAACTTCACGGTATTTCAGTGGTTATTACTCTATTAATGTATGGCAGAAAGCTTGACACTCTTGTGTAAACATCGGGTCGACCCTGAGCGCAGGTTGCGGTGCCGTAGGAAACAATGCCGACCAGCTGCGGTGTGCCTTGTTGCATTATTAGCGGTCCACCTGAATCACCCTGAAAGCAGGAAGACATTAGTGAAGTTTTCACCTGTTATTTCACCCTTCCACTGAGCAAAGAGGAAGGGCAGAAGTGAGGAGAATATTTTGTAATAAATTTTAACAAATAATAAATAATAATTCCAGTATTCCTATAATATCTTAGCGAACTTACCACGCAAGCACCGCGCCCGCGCTCACCCAGCGCACATAACTCGTTGGCTGTTATGCGAAAGCCGCGCTGGGCACAGTCCTGGTTTGATATGGTGCGGTAGTCCAAGACTTGTAGTTGCTCCGGCAAACCGCTTGACCCGGTTGGTGTGAGTGAACCCCAACCTGTTAGGCGCACCGCGACATTCTCGCCAACACGCGCTCGCCCTCCCAGCGATATTGTACTTATCGAACTCTTGGCCAAGTTAAATGGCGGTGTTACTTTCAACACAGCAATATCGTTAATAATTAATGAGCTTGAGGAGAAGCTGGGGTGAGAGCGTATAGCCACAACTCGATAGCGGTCACCACCATTACGCCACGTCAAAGTGCCGACCACAACGGTGATTTCATTCGCGTTCATCTTGGTTAAACAATGAGCGGCGGTGAGCACGTGGTGAGTGCTGATGATAGAACCGCTGCAAAAATGATGGTAGCGACCACGTCGGTACACCTGCAGTGAGACCTGATAGGGTACGACCTGTGTGACGGGTCGGCCGCCGTTGATACGCATGACGTTATCAGTCTCCAGGGTTTCGTTTTTGTCTGCAACATCGCAATTATCAAAATCCTCCATTGACGGTGTTGCAAGGTTCGACTCTTCACTTGCCAACAAAGTGGCATTGCAAAAGGCGATCAGGAGAAATGCACAGAGCAACCTTAACTTTAACATTTCAATACTGAAGAAGTGGAAAACACTAAAGAAACCGAAATGCGAACTTGGCTTTTTATAAAGGCTATATGTACACATACATATGTACATAAGCACTTGCGGAATTTCGCTTTTGTTTATAAAGAGATCACTTTAATCCGCAAACATTGCAGCTTTAAACAGAAGTTTCGGTTTGTGCCAGTTTTACGGTTTATTTGCAAAATGATCATTTCGCCTTTAGTCTACCAATTTCAACTAAAAATATTGATAAGATAAGTCCATTGCAGCGCATCTTGCGCCAGGAGCTCCTAATCAGTAAACGCTTTTCGCCTCTCCTCTCCTCCGTCTACCACTTGGGACTCGGCTTTTAAATTCCAATTAGTTGAACTGGTACTTTGTGCGTCGACCAGTTGCAAGTACATAATTGGAGATTGGCGACATGTTTTGCTTGCTCAAGAGTGCACTTCGAGGAAAGTACTAATACTGTAGACAAAGCAAAAATAATAATAACAACAACACAATCGGAATGAAACGAATTGAAGATGTTCAAATTCATTGCTTGTTCTTCATAATCAGCAAATTGGTCATTTATTTTAATACCTAATTTGTTTGCACTGCAACAGGTTACCACAAACTGTGTTATGTTCGAACGCAATCTCCCGACACAGTGGGACATAAATTATGACCATGGCGAACACCACACGAGGCCGTACAGCACAAACGGTCGGCAGTGTGAAGGCATGAGATGACAGAGAGTTCTTTACGCGTTATTTAGCGACCGCAGTAGCCGAGAGGTTAGCGCGTGTATGACTTGGAATCTTCGCCAGACCAACAAACAAAATTAAAGAAGAACCAAGAAAGAAGTGCTTTTTTCGGCCATGCGGAATTGGAGGCTTAATGGTATTAAGACCCGTGCCAAATGCAAACTAAAATCGCAGAATCATTGGAACTGACTCAGCAAGCAATTTTCGTTCGGTTAAAGCAAATTTTATGTATACAAAAACAAAAAATTGGGTGTTGTCAAAGTTGTCGAAAAGCAATTTACCTCGGAATTGTTTCTTAAAAGACATCAAGGGAAGATACTTTTGCATCGGATCGGGATTGGTGATGAAACGTGGATATAATACCCTAAATTCAAAATGAAAAATTACTATGACAAGCCTGGTGAGCCCGCTCCACTATCGTCTACAACGACGCCAACGAAAAACATCCACATATAAAGGTCCTGCTCTGTACGGGTGTGTTTTACTATGAGATACCAGGCAAAACCAAAGGCATGCCAAAATGATTTTGCCACATGATAACGCTCGGCCGCAAATAGCTTTATGAATCAAGTACTACCTGGAAACGTTGCCGAATTGTTCAGACTTTGCTTCTTCTGTCAGTTGCTTTTTCGAGGGTTACAAACATGATTTGAGGGATCTTGTTGCGACGCTTTTTTTTAAATTTTACGTTTTTTTCAAACACTATTATTGTACCGTTATCAAAGTTCAGTATCGATTATTAGCTAATGTATTTTGTTACGGTACACATTAATGGAACCCCCGTAAAGCCAGATAACTAGAACTTTTCTCTCTAGAACTCGATTTGTTTTAAAAATTTCGGGATGTTCTTAAGATAATCTGTTTGTTCTTTCACTTCTGGAAATTATATGCTTTTATAGATCGAAAAATAGGGGGAAAATTTACGAGAGGTTGTAAATTATGAACCGAAAACACTAATTTATGCTCGCAAAGAACAGGAAACAGTCGGCAGTCGCTGAGAGTCCAGTCGGACGAGTACACTGCCTGTGGGAGCGATTCGAAGTAAAGCTCATGAAATTTTGCTATTGTTTTGGTTGACTTTCTGCCCGGTGCCTTGCTTAATGAAACAATTTTTTTTTATTGGTTGTTGTCTCTGATGGAGCAGGATTCCTATAACTCTCTTCAAATCTTTGCTTGAACGGTATATAAACGGAAAGCATTAAACTTTTTTCAACCCAGTAATGCTCACTTACAATTCAGTTACCAAATTTCGAACGCAAAACTATTAACTCAATAGCTAGCGCACCAAATATGAGCTTCCCGTAGAAGTTATCAGAATCATCACGAAAAGTAAAATTTTCATTACAAGTATTTTTTATGTACAAAAAAATTATAATAATTAATAAAGTACCGATGGTACCCATCAATACAATATTTCTTTTCCATAACATAATATCAACGCCTCAAAGGACTTGGAAATTTCAGAAGGTGATGCGTTTTGTTTCATAAACAGAGAATCGAATTTAGGGCTCTCCATACGTTGTCAAGCTCTGTGTGTAATTCGACAAAAATCCGTAAGGCACTCAGGCGCCATGGAAAACAAAATGTATTTATAAAGGACATTTTAAAAACCTCGAAGCAGTCCTAAACATTCTCACCAATAAATCAACATAAATACATAAGTAAAAACATATATTCGCTTACCATGTCATAGGAGGAGTTTCAGTGCCCAAAACTGTTAGACTGCACGTTCCGCGTGTAGCTCATTAAGCCGTAAGAAATTAAAAGAAAAAAAACGTTTTCTCTTTTTTTGTTTATTTGCTCTTGTTACCTTTAATCTGATAAAGCTGTTTGGCTGTGTACATGCAGAATGATTCAGTTTGCGATTTTTGTTAATCCGTAGCTACGCTTACACACATACACGTACTCATACTCATACATGCATGCATAAAATATTTATAGGTCGCGTGTGCTTGTTACTTAATTGATGACAACAAGTAGGCGCTTCTGTTGTCACTAAACAAATCTTTAACTAGACTATCGTATTCGCTCGCCGCACAATATATTATGTTCCTTCACTGACGCAGCAGTTAATTAATTTTTTATATACTATCTATACATATATATATATATACTACATAGTACTCCGCGAGCCCACCAAATACTCAATTTGTTCGTCAATCCAGTCTATTAGCCGCAGCATACCCGTATAAACGTAAATATTATTATTCCTGCAGGTGGACTTTCCATAGGACAACAGTCCGACTTGTTTAGTTAGATTCGCCGTAAGTAGAGCGCTACCAGAGTCACCCTGTGTGAAAGAGTTGGTTGTAGTGAAATCATTTACATTTCCTATACTTACACTGAGTACATCATACATCACAAGCACCGCGCCCTCTCGGGCTATAAGCACACAGGTCTGTTTCGGTAACCAACGGAAAGCCCAGCCAACGGCAACTCGTCAATGGGACTGTCCTGAAGTCCACAATTTCCATCATTTTCTTGCGTCGCCAACTAATTAAATATGTTTCCTTATATTGCTCGATATTCTCCCCGGCGTGATAGTCCACAGTATCCAAAGTAACACCGTCAATAGGCAACGGCTGTTTAAGGCTCAACAACGCAACGTCCCGTCCGCGAAGTGGTATAAACCATTTATGCTCGATGACTTGAGCAACAGCGTAGCGTGGCGTTGGTGCCGATGAGAAATTGTGTACACCGGCTACAATGCTCAGAAACTTCGTTGGGTGTCTTTCGTAGAAACAGTGAGCCGCAGTCAAGATGATCTGCTCGTGTATGATGCTGCCGCCGCACAGATGCTTATAGCTGCGGCCCCGTTTAACCTGTATCGAGACATGAAAAGGCAGCGAAAATGGCAAAAATCCACGAATCTTGCCATTGGACTCCCGCAACTGGTTCACAGCTATAACATCATTAGTTATAAGGTTTCTTTTACTTTTTTCTCATTAGTTTTAAGTACCTTCGATGAAGCGTCGATTCTCACTCACTAGTGCCACTGTAGACAGCGGCAGAGATCCTAGAGCAAATACGTGTAATATCAGAGATTTCATCTTAGTTGCTGCACTTTCAAGTTACTACTAATTAATAATAACGGAAAGTTTCGAGTTTTGTTAGCAAAGCTTTTGCAGTAATTGCAATTGCAATTTAACGGTCATTTCTATGCTTATTTCATGGTGTCTCCGCGCGTGGATTTCAGTATCAGTAGTTAGAGCATTCAAGAGCAAAACACGAAGTTAACGCTTGCTAATCATAGCGATGTACATACATATACTCGTATATATATTATATGTATGTATATGTGCATCACACTATTTATTACATTTTATACTTAAAAAAGTATCCTTTGACGTTCATTAACTTTTCCACTTTTCCGACTTTGTTATATTAAACACCGTAATACCACAAAGAGAGAGGCAACCTCAAGCAACATGTCGGCAGGATTAGCTCTTGGTTGACAACACGATAACACATATAAGCACAAAAGTAAACAAATGAGTAGTTCAAAGTGAACTAGAAAGCTCGCTGCGGTAGTAAAAAGCAATTCTGCACACATATGTACACACGTATGTACACAATTAGAATATTATAAAAGTCAAAGGCAAAATTACAGAGAGGCGCTGTGACGTGGGTGAGCATTGTAAACCCAGCAAGCCTTTTTGTGGCTAATCATTTCGATTGCAAGTAGTTTTCTTAGCCCAACAACCTTCGCTCCAAACAACAGGATTCGGATTTGAGCGATGTAGTGGTATTCACGAGCTTTCATCGATACTTGCCAATTCTGTCGCTTGCACGAACGATTAAGCGATTCGCTAACGCAATTTTGACGACAATCGACAGCTGGCATTTAATTTTTATTAAAATAGAGGAAAGGTGGCATCACAGCTCAAAAAAGCGTCAAAATTTCTGAAAAGCAAAACGAAATGTGACAAAAACGAGAGAGTTGCAACGGATCACAAAATCTACCATTAAAAGTAATTTTACGGCTACGGTTACGGTTACGGTCGCTAACAGACATTGGCTTCTGCGGGTTTCTGAAGCTCGATAACTTTAATAGGGCCTGCAAAAAGTAAGGAGTTAGATGAAACGATTGCCGATTGGTTGTGTCTTTTAGATATTCCACATTGTTTTTCAACGGAACGTTGCGGAGAATCGCGAACGTTTAAGCTTTTAACAGTGTTACAAATTGGGAACACCTTAAAGTGGCAATATTTATCCGTTTCTCTATAAACATTACCGTTACATTTTTGCCTTTAGTGAGAACCGATTTCCGGGTCAGTCTATGTGTACGGTTATCCATTTCATAACTACAGATGGACAGCAGAGTGCTCTGAGAGAGCGGGATTGCAAATGAAAAATCATACGATGTTTGTTGTAACCTTCCTTGTGTTTATTAACAGGCGTTCTTTGAATTACAAAGGTGGTTGCGTACTTTTTCTGCTAAAAGAGAGTTCGAGTCGATATTGGATCCTCGGATTGTACGCTCATCTAGATCACTGGAGGTGTGTCGTCCACTTATGATAGCATGATCCATCTGGGTGTGAGTTTTTCGATCCGGAGACAGCCAAGTAAGTAAATAAGTTAAGGATTTCTTGTCCTAGGATTTAGTATTACACTTAGCCTGTTTTAAGCAAAGTAAATTATTTGACATTCGCAATAGAGAAAACACATTACTAAAGGGTGCGGATTATCCCTCCAAAGGCCTCAAGTAAACATGGCCTCTTTGAAGGAAAACTTGTGTAAGAAGACTCACAGTCTTTTCGAAGTGGGAATCGAGTGAATTTAGGAATTAGATTCACAGTTTTCTGGAATAGCCACTGTCATCGAGACGCTTTCAAAACTGCTTATAATCTGGCTTTTAAAAAGAGTTTGATACCAGTTGGGTGTTTTCGGGATAATCTAGTTGTAAACTAGTATTTTTTTCGGAACAAACTCCTTTGCAAGTTAACGTACGAGTATGCATGTGACAGGGCCGGAATAGTAAAGTGGTTCGCATTGCATACTGCATTTTAAAAACCAGGATTCGAGCCATGGTTCGATCAACATTCAATAATTAATTAATTAATCCATTCGTTGGAAAACATTTAGACGCCGACCACAAACTGATATGGGAGCTCGGCCGAAAGTCGCTTCAGCGGTTTTGTGAAACGTAATACTTATTAATATAAACTTTTTAAAATTTAGTAAAACCGACTATGAAAGGGTGATCTTTTTTGTTTGGGCACACTGTTCTATTATCTTATCTCTTATATATACATAAATTAATTATTTATTTCATTTTATCGAGTTCAATTAAATTAATAATCGCTCCAGCGCTGTTCTGAGCGCTACGCAAATTAGTGGAGCTCATTAAAGCGCTGCTCAACACAAGACTGTGTGGTCCAATTACGTGCGGAAGAACCTAAGGATTCTGACACTGACACTACACCATCTCCAGCAGCATCATCTTACTGGAAGCACAGGAGAGCCAACGAAACAAATTAACTTTAAATAAAGCCATTCAAACGTTGCTTATCTACACTTGCCCCGTGTCTCTGAGATGACTGGTGTGTCTTGCAGTCAGCAGTGGGAATTCGTAGCCGACCCTTCGATAAGCATATCATCAGCTGGCCGGGTGGGCAAGAGCGTATCGGCAATTAACACAGTAGTACAAAGATCAAGACCCACGTTACGGCGCTTGTGCCAAAACTCCAAGCAGAAATAAAAAAAAAACAAACAAACAAACAAGGAAAGTTCGGCAGAACCCCCAATCAGCGGAATTATTTCCAGGCAAACAAAGGTGTGCTTAATTAATTCATTAAAACACACGCAAACTCAATGATTTTTGCGCCCTTTTTGCGGTATCTAAGTGGTCCAACACAAAACGGTAGCAACAATCGCAACTCAATAGCGACAATACAATAAAAATGATTCATTAACCGCGGGCAGCAAATGTTGCATGCGACACGGACACAGATCAGCCCACGCTGCGCGGCGTACACATACTCGTGCGCGACATGGGTGCAGTTCAAAGTGGGGGAAGAAGACAAGGCGCTGCTTATTGGTTTATAATTTGCATCAGCAACCAGTCTCACCAGCCCTCAGTTACTTCGTCTCCACTGACCGGCAGATCGCTGTGCATGGCTACCGGCTTAATACTACAATGAAGACAACGAGTGAATGAATTAATTCGGGCCACTGGTGTGCGATTGCGCCAAGTCCGAATGCGAAATGTGCCGGATGGTGATCTACTGATTCGACACCTTTGCTTGGGCTATTTGAGCCGCAGTCAGCACGAGTAGCAGAGCTGGATGCAGATCAGAAATCAGAATATTTAAATTATTTCATTGATTAAAACTGCCATGTTGTTGAACTGAACATTGCAGTGAATAAATCGGCACTCAAACAACAGCAACAACAACAACCAGCAATACACGAGTGGTCGTGCATCCTTCTACGAGTGCGTCTGTTGAAAGTGAACGTGGCCTAACCAGCCAATCAACGAACCAGACATCGCTGTGCTGGACCACCACTGTTGGCCATCGGGTATGTAGGTGTGATTCCCAGGAAATTGCAATTGAAATGCCACCCGAAATTGAACAATTTGCCAATGAAGACTGCCAGTTAGCATGGTTGTTGTACCTTTGAGGCGCTCTTCACATATTACTGTATAATTCTGTTGGATTCAGCTTTGACCGGTGCGAATTAAATGGACATGTACCTTTAATTACATAATTCTCGTTTGGTTAGTGCTTTTCAATTGAAAACATTTCCTCAAATCACTCTCGAGTGGCCAGCAATTCGATAGCTCTGCAGCTGCTGTGGACTGCTGTGCTGGTGTGCGCTAAGCTTTCGTTAATTTATTGTCACCAAAAAATATAAAAAGTTCCCCTTTTTATCAGATAAGCAAGAGCATGAGTGTAGGTGAAGTTGGAGTGGGCCCAAACTCCTTGCACTGTGATGTCAGTATTAGTGTTGGCGCGAGATGTTCTCACTGAGTGCTTGTTGTGAATACCGCAGTTGGCCAGCTCTCGACTCGGCACTGTGCACAGCGTGCGGTGATTTGGGTTTAAAAGGTTACCACACTTAGCAATAACTCTGCCGCAACACTGTCAACGGCAATGGAACAGTTGCAGTTTGCCAACGCGCATCAGCTCTCCCAATCATAAAGGTCATCATCGCCAGCGCAGCCGCCAGTGAGCCGCAGTATTCAGAGTGTGAGCGGGTGATTTGGTTCTCTGTCCTTTAGAATACGAGTTTTCGAGATCAAAGTCAAAACATAATTTTACTTTTGTTTATTTATTGCAAATGCGCATAAGACTTCCACACCCGCTGAACCGCGCCATCGATGCGATATTCGACTATTTTTTTTTTTAATTTTGGTATGCAAATAAAATGTTACAGCTTCACATATACAGCCATGGACACGCAAATGGCAAAAAATCTGTTTTAAATGAAATTCGGTTTATTTTTTCATTCAGCCCACCTTTTCTTCATTCTTCCATTAGATGCGGAAAATCGGCTGAGTCCCAGCACAAAAAACACAGAAAATTGATGACAAGGATTAGCGGTCGCGATAGCCAAGTGGTTAGCACTTCACCGATATCCAAAAATTATAGAAAATTTATTCAAATAAATAATGAAGATAGGAGGCGGCTTCGTATAAATGGTAGGTTTTGTTGGAAAAACATTCAGACGCTCTACCAATATGTCGCCTTTCGCTTTAACCACCAGTGGCATCCTTTATTGGACCACTCCTCGTTAACTGCATGAAATAGCTCATCAACGGTTTGAGGTGTCGAATTTCGGGTTATAATTTCTTTTTTAAGAATTTTTCATAAATTCTCAATCGGGTTGAGATAAGGGCTTTGTGCAGACCAATCTAATAAGAAATGCCGTTATCTAGCCGCTTCTTCTAATGTGATTTTAGCTATATGCTTTGGATCATTATCTTGCATAGCGATAACATCTCCAGGTTCACACCCAAATTCTTCGATGCAGAGAAGGTCCGAATCTCTTAAAATATCTAATCATAATTTCATCGATTCGTCGCAAAACCTTTAACTTTTCCCTTGGAATCATCCCCATCATTAAGGATCGGCCACCATACGTTAAGGTCTGTTGAATGTTTAGCTTTGTGATGACAACTTTTGGATCATACCATAATCAAATTCGACCATCTGAACCTAAACGATTGGTATTCGATCTATCGGGCCAAGTTACCAAATTCCACTAACCTGGGTCCTATCTAATATGATCTTTAGCGAAATTCGAACGTTCAGCGCGATGCTTAGCTGTTAGAAGAGGCTTTCGTATCTTAGTTTTAGCTCTCATACCCGCTTCTTTCAATCGTCTGCATCCTGCTTGGTTTGACACGTTAAGATGGAATGGCTCGGACACCTCTTAATGGGCTTACACGGTCTACAGCTGCTGACACAACTAATCTCTTGACTAGGGATGAGCTCGAGGAAATCGACGCTAAAACAACTGAGATGTTGATCAGTGTTTACATACCGACATTAAAGATGGAGCACCCTGTACCATAGCTTTTTTGTAAGAATTTTTCCATTCGCCGAAGTCTCATGAACCGAAACAAAAACCAATGTATGTATATATAAAATAGTGGGAATTTTTCGAAACTTAAAGATTGTTACTAAATATGTGGCCAATCCGTTTTTTAAGACGGTTTTTGTAAGTCACTGTATATATTATAAATCAAGGTCAAATATGATTTAAGAAAGCGTTTAAATGCAGCACAACTTTTGGGGCAACTTAATCGATATAAACCCCCTTAACTTTTGGAAAAATGTACAAGCGGGTGCTTTTTCACAGTCCGCAGTGGGACTAATCGTTAGGTAGTGATAGTCTGAAGTGAAATCTCCACGACTCGGCTTCCTCATCGCTCATGAGAGTCACCAATTCGAGGTTGTAGATAATTTCGATAATCACTCTTGCCAACTGTTCCTACTTTGAAAAGTGAAGCTCTCCCTGTACAACAAACAAAAGGCAAACTCAACAAGTCGCTTGTCTCTCCCATAGCGGGAGAGCCGGCATTAGAAGTTTTCCACAAAAGATTTTGCGAACGATCGGCAACGGTGAGTACCAGAGACGATGGTAAGTAAATGAAGACTCCATTGGAAAGATTAGGTGGAGATTTTTTGGTTCCACTTGTTGTTTCCTGTTGGCTCTCAACGGCGAAGAGAAGAAACGACTAAAGCGCTTGACTTGTTGACTTGCTTCAAATCTCGTAAGCGCTGCTCCCGCTTGTCAAGAGGATTTTTAATTAATTTTCCATAATTTCTTCCTTTTGGGTGGATTGTGCCATTTCCGGGACCAAGTCGTTTAATATCAGCCATTTTTTGTTTTGTTGTGAAACTTTTTCTTACTCAATGAACGGTCATTTCAATCTTTACCTTATTCTTATACATATACAAAAGATTTGTTTTTTATTTTGTGTGCAGCTATTTCAGAAGAAACTGAAATGTAAGTGCTCTATTTGCTTGGTCGTGGCTGTATGTGTGTAAAAAGAGCGTGAGCGCCAAATACTCGTAATACTGTTTTTTGTATTAATTTAATTAACCGTTATATACAAACTTGGGCTTATCATAATATGTCACCGCCCACTGCTTGCGATTAAAAAGCAGCAAAAGGTCACATCGGGTGGCCGCCTTGTGAAATTCCGTATATAAACCTCAGGCGGGCTTAGAAATTTGCACAAAGTACGAAATCGTATACTTAACGACTTTAAGAAATGGGATCGAAGATTGCTGCAACTTTGCTTTCACTCTACTTGCTAGGAATTGTGGAATCAAGCCCTAGCCATATGAAAGAAGCCGGCACCGTCATAGACCGTAAGTTTTCTTGAATTGTGGTTAAAAAAATTTAAATTTTTTTTTTAATTTTCTCTATCTAGTGGATTCCTACTTCGAGTCGCATGATGTCGACTCACAAGAACGCGTTGTGGGTGGCACAGCAGTACCTGACGGCGAGTACATACCCTATCAGATATCCATGCAGTATCGCACACGCAGCGGAAAAGATCGGCATTTCTGTGGTGGCTCGATTATTTCACCGAACCGTATACTAACCGCTGCACATTGTGTCAACGGTCAGGATGCGAAACGCATTTCCGTTGTGGCGGGTATACGTGATCTCAACGACAGCACTGGTATACGCTCGCAAGTGTTGTCTTACGAAATTCATGAGAACTACGAAGAACTGGTGACCAGTGATATTGCTATTCTGAAAATTGAGCCCGCTTACGAGTTGGACGGCACTAGGGTGAACCAAATCGATGTGGGTGGCAGTGATAAGGTCGATGGTGGTCGGGATGTCACACTCTCCGGTTGGGGTGCTATGTGGCATGTGGGCCAAGGTCCATTAGCCATATATCCCACGCTGCTGCAACGCATGTCCTACAAAACGATCACGAACGATCAGTGCAAAAAAGTAATGACACAGCTAAGCGACACGGAAATCTGCGCCTTGGAGCGATTCGGCAAGGGAGCTTGTAACGTAAGTGGAGAGCAGCGCACGTAAAATTTATTAGTACTATTTTTATGACAACACAACGTTTGCAGGGCGACTCAGGCGGTCCATTGGTAATGGAAAACGGCAGCAGCTTGAAGCAGGTTGGTGTTGTTTCTTACGGCACGGCACTTTGCGCCTCCAATAACCCAGACGTCTATACCCGCGTATCCATGTTCGATGACTGGATCAAGGCACGCTTGGCTTGAAAGCGCACAAGAAACACGTAAAAACTCTAAACTAAGAACTTCTCTAATGAAAAGCTGGCACAATAAATAGTTTTAAATATCATTGAAGCAAAAAAGAATTAAAATATAAATCAGGAATACAGTTGCCTACTTACTACAGGGTATGCTTACACTAGTATAAATATATGGGTATGCGCACTCCCATGAATCTGATTACCCGTTATTTAACTCACTTTTCTAACTAACTCTCACCCGCATAATTCATTTGCTGGGAGAACTACACCAATGCCACACATTTCAAGTGCATTTCAAGTTCTAATTGCCAGAACTAACAGATAGCTATGCTAATGTCGCCAGTGAGGCCGCATGAACTGCTGGGCTTACTGATTATTCATAACCTATGCGGTCTATATATATAAATATATCTTTATGTATTTTCCTGTCACTATAAATAGATCTCGGTCGGTTGAGCTCCGTTTCAAACCGTAACGAGCACTTGATACTTGAAAACGCCGCATTCCAACTTGTCGCTCAGATATGGCAATACCTAAAGAAATATATAACCTAAAATTGCTGTATATTTTGGTGCTTTTGGCTGAAGGTAAGCTCAACTGGAATTCATATTCGTCGAGCCGGACACACACACTGTGGGTTTTTTTCTTTCCAGCTGTTTTGTCCAAGACGACCAATAACATGACACGCATTGTGGGTGGCCACGATGTGCCTCTCGGCCAATACGTTCCCTACCAGGTTTCACTGCAGTATTTTACAAGGAAAAATAAGTACCAACATTTCTGTGGTGGCTCTATAATAGCACCGGACCGCATTTTAACTGCTGCCCATTGTTGCAAGGACTTCGATGTGGGGCGTATGAGTATATTGGCCGGAATACGTGATCTTAATGACTCGGAAGCTGTGCGCATACAGGTACAATCTTACGATATACACGAAAACTATGAGGAACTTGTGACTAGTGATATAGCTATACTAAAACTAATGGAACCCTTAAATCTGGATGGTACGCGCATAGCAGCTATTGATGTGCGGGGCGGTGAGGTTGTTGGCGGTGGCGTGCCAGTCACGTTGACTGGTTGGGGTCTGCGCTTGCCAGTAGCTTTTCCTTTTCTGCCACCCGAATTAGACAATATAAATTATCCAACCACTTTGCAAACCATGGACTACCACACCATTACGAATCAAGAATGTAAAAGTAGCGGTATGGAAGATCTCACAGATACAGAGATTTGCGCGAGAGGCACTTTACTGAAGGGTGCCTGCTCGGTAAGTTAGTCTGAATTTCCTCTTTAATCATTACTTCAGCGTGTACTTCTAGGGTGACTCAGGTGGGCCACTGGTAACGAAAACTAATGCGGGGTTGCATCAAGTCGGTATTGTCTCCTATGGGCTCTTTGTTTGTGGTGTATTCAGCGTGATACCGGATGTTTACACCAGAGTTTCGGTTTTTGATGAGTGGATACGGGAGCGTATGCAGTAAAGTGCTCCGGCGGTACAGCACACTTCGGCCTCCACCGTCCACTGCACAAAAGCAAAAGTATTTCTTCCTCAGCACTAATATGTCTACTCATATGTATAAATTTGAAAGAAAAAAGTCATACATTGACGGCCGCAAGCCCCCATTGGGTTGTTATCCTTGCAATAAACTTAAATTATGAATCCATTGAAAATATTGTGTTTTTTCCTGCACAACTACATCATGCTTACTTGTTTTACACACGCCCATACGTTGTCATGTATTTTTTCATAGTAATAGTATTTTCAAGGGCAAGCGAATTTAAAAAGCTCGCATTTTCATCCCCTCCCACCGGTGTCGCTGCGAGCCCAGACAACAGTTTGAGGGTTGTAATGTGCTTGTGGACAATTTAATAATACGGTTCATAAAATAAGTCGACCGGATTTTTATGGCATCGCATATGAATATGCTTTGGCTGCCGGTAAGCCATAAATACTTGCCAAGGAAAGCGGTAAATTTCCTCGAAAGTCACATCCAAGATGAGTGGCAAAGTTGTGGAGAGGTTAAATACACCAGCAAATATACATATGTACGAGTAGTATGTGCATCAGCGTATAATTCGGGCAAAGAAACGGTATTGTTGTTACTTAAAAGTATAAAATTTCTTGTGATTTTATTTCAAACAATATTTTTTCACCTAAATCTTGAGTATATTTTTTGCAGTAAAAATTAATACCTAAATATTGAGATTTTACCCTTCTGCGGGAGCTTCTTCTGTAGCAGCATCAGACACTCCTTCAGCCGCGGGATCTTCAACAGCGACTGCACTAGCATTGCGGGCTGGCTCAGGTAGTCCAGGCTCGAGAGGCAATGGTTCTACTTCAACTTCTGTAGTAGGTGCAGCTGCGACTTGTGATTCTTGAGAAGGTTCAGGCTCAGGTCCTGCTTCAGCTTCTGTCTCTGGTTCCGTTTTAGGCTCTGGTTCGGTTGGTGGTACTTGTGACTCTAACACCACAGCTGCCTCGGTTTGTTGTGCAGCCTCCAAAGGTACATCTTCCTGTCAATATTTGTATTGCTGTAAAATGTATGGCTCTACTGAGCGAAACTTTACTTACTTCAGCTAGCTCAAGCGGCTCTGTGGTAATATCGTCGGGGGCACCGGGAACCGCCTACAATGTTAAATTCTGATTAATATCCGTCACAGTAATTAAGGCATTTGTATACAAGCTTACAACTTTAATTTTGGAACCTGGCTCGCATATTTCGCCACCCTGCAACGAAAGCATTAAAGCCAAATATTTATTTATTTCAATGCTGTTCACCTTCTCCATTGATTTTTCCGATTGCAGCGAGGACAAATATCGCCGGAAAGCTTTTTGAATCGTAATTGCAGCCTGATTTTGTAGTAGTAAGTACTGTTCGTCCAACAGCTAGCAGTGGATGGAGATAAGAATTTGAGTATACCACAAAGTACTTTTAGTTCTCACCCTCTCTGCAGAGACCTCCTGCGGTGCCGGCTTTCCGAAATTTTTTCGTACTCTATAACCACGGTAGTTAGCCTAAAGCGTGGGCGTAAAAGGTGTTAGTTAACAAATGTAATATTTATCAAATAAGATAACAAAAGCATATCGACACCTGTATTTTTGTAGCAGCCATTTTTTCCTTCTCTTCTTCGAGCCGCATACGCTCGCGTTCCTTGAAATATTGATAAAGTTCCTCCGTTCCTTCAATGTCCTTCGCAATTCGAAAAAAGTAATTAGAAATATCAATCAAAATGCCTTCCAATTGGATTACTAAGTGACCATGAGTACCTCATGCGCCTTCATGTATGCATCCACAAAACGACGATACGCAGCCTCAATCATTGGTTTTGAGATTTTTAATTCTTGTTCAGTGAACTTGCAACGCTCAACCATGGCATCCAGCATGTCTTGCTCTTCGAAACGCACAATTTCTATCTCTTTGCGCTGCTCACAACGCATGCGACTCAGGAAGCGCCGGAAACATTCTTCCATGTGCAAAGCCATCTCGTGCGCCTTTTCCTCGCTGATATCGCACACACACATATCCGCAATAATCTCGTCAACCACAGCCAAAGCGCGATCAATTATGCCCTTGGCCACTATGTACCAAAGCGCTTTTATCTGGTATCGAAAGGAAATAACTCACAAATTACCTCTGGCCTTTTCACGTGTTATGATCAGCGAATGCAGATAATCGATAATGAATTGGCAGAGACACTCTGACGTTGGCTGACAGCGCAGAACCTCACGCGTGATATCCGACAATAGTTCCGGCAGTCCCTGAGGCACGTTAATCATCTGGTTGCGGACCTTTCCACGCTGAATAAGATAATTCATGGTCGCCTGTTGATATTTTCGTCCTTTTTATGGTAATTATAAAAATATATGAAAATTTCAGTGTCTTTATTTCAATATTTTTGTCAATTTATTCATAATAATTTTTTAATTTTCATTAACTCATTTAAAGAGGGTGTTCCGTTTTGAAATAATATTTTGTACATAATTGTGTATTTAACACGAATATTGTAGCATACTCGAAGGCAGCGGATAATGCAATAGCAAATGAAGCCGACTAGAATTTTCATTATTTCATTTCCAGAATTTCTCAAAACCGAAGAAGTTGCAATGAACTTTCTATATATATATGATACCGGGTGCAGATGCATTAAATACGATTCATCCTATTAATTTTGAAATATGCTCCCTTCGTTAATGAATATACGGATTTGTTTCGTGGTTCTAAAGGGAGTTTCGAGAGTTTGAAAAGGCCACCTTGCAAGGCAACACCTTTTCTGGATATTCTGTTTACAGATTTTCGCTTTCCATCATAATTAATTCTGTATTTAAATTTACGCGTAGAGCTCAGTTTCAAGCTTACGCAATATTATTTTAAAAATTCAATACTAATATGCTCTGATATAATTGATTTTAAAAATATTTGGCACACAAATCCCTCAGCCCAATAATGTTGACACTCTCGCCTTGGCTAGCGACGGCTAGATGGCGCAACACACAATCAGCTGTTAGCGACGTGTCAAAGTTTGTTTTCATTTTTCACTAAACTTCAAGTTAGGGAATTTGATAGTGAACAAAAACTTTGCGAAATTGGCTTCCCCGCTATGGAATCAGCAAATTTATTAAATTTGGATGTGGACACTTTGTTCGAACAGCACAGTGTACCGGAAATCGATGTGGTTCATAAAAAAATTCAGTCTGTTGTTGAAAACAAGCGTGAGGAGCTGCGTCTAATGGTTGGGTATGCCTCTGTCGCAGTTGATGAAATATCAATAGCTGTATGTGTTTCTACTTTATTTCTAGTGAGCGTTATCGTGATTTACTGCAAGCTGCCGATACTATTGTCGCTATGAAAGATTCCTCAGCACAGCTTATAGAGCAAGTGGATTCCATAACCAGGAATTGTCGTAAATTAAACGAACAACAACTATTGGGTTTTAGAAACAGCGAAGCTGAAGATTTGCTACGAAATCGCAATGCCAATAAAAAGATTACCAATTATTTTAGTACGATAGTGCAGATCAAGCTTTTGACAACATTGCCTGAATTAATTTGGACCCATATTGATGCTGAACACTTCTACACGGCTACTGAATTGTTTATCTTCAGTAGACATATCAGTACAGGCTTACAGTTGGATGCAACCAATTCCCTAATGCAACATTTGCCAGTAGCAAAAAAGCAATGGGAAATTCTCAAACCGTTCAATACAACAATAAAGCAACACGTCTTAACAACTCTAGAAAAGGAAGATCTAAACGGTGGTGTGGCATGCGATTGTTTGCTCAGTTTGTTGTTATTAGAGAGGAACACATTAAATAGCGTTCTAAAAATCTTTTTAAATCTCCGTTGCGCGGCTTTTTTGAATTGCCTCAGTGAAGATAAATGGTCCACAAATGATAGCCGAAGACGTGTAAAAGATCGAATATTAGCGAGCTTACGCATTTTAAATAGTACTATTGAGCTTATAGAGAAATGTTTCCTAGGTGTGTTGCTTATGAAAAATTTTACTTTTGGCCGTAGGTGCATTAAAAGATTTCTTCATATTTTTTTACATTTACAGAAAATGGTTTATTGCTACAAAGATTACACGAGTTGAGCGATGTAAGTGCGCCGCCGACAATAACATTAATACATCAAAGCGATGCCCAATTCTCTTATCTGTTACCAGAAATTATTTCCAACTTTCGACCCAAGACCGAGACACAAGCACTGGATGATAAGCAAGTTCGCGACGCCTTGGAGCAGTGGCTCGTGGATACACGGCGTATTGCCGGCACTCAACTGAAACAGTTATTTGATTACGTTTCAACAATGAGTACCATCAAAGAATTAAAAGCTGAAGCTAATAACCAGCGAAAAGGCTTAAATTTTGGCCAAATTGTTAAAAGACTTCAACTGTCACAAACACTGGATTTTTATGAACTGAAATATGTACCGTTAATTAATCAACGCATTCATGACATTATCCACGACAGTTGGGCAAAGGCAATGCAAAAAACATTCGAATCGTTAGAACAAGCTTTAACAGATGTGAACGCGAATTCTTTCAATATTTGGTTGGAAAGTGTGCAGGATTTGCCCCCAAGTTTGGAAGTAGCTTTAAGTGACGACCTCAAACTGAAAAAGTTGTTGATGAAAACAAAAGGTTACGATAATGAAACAATTGCACTGTGCGCCGAGTTAGACCGTCAGCTTGAAAGTATCGTTTCGGAAATGAATGTTCTACTTGAAGAGCAGGGAACCAGAGCAGAGGATAAGCTTGCTCTAATAGTTTTCTTGAGAGAAACTGCTGAAGCGCAATTAACGCACTTTCTCAGTCGGGCAAAAAGTCTACATTTACTTCAATCCCAACGTTACGAACTTCTAGTTGTAGCACGCTGCTGCTCAGCGTTGGTCGAAATGTGTCCCAATTTGAAAGTATGCTTCTGTCAAAGGGGCAGTTGGCGCCAGTGGGTGGGCAATGTTGCTGCAAATAGTGTTGAGCATTGGAACAGAGTGTGCGCCTTGCTAGAAGAAGAATCTTTCATTTTTTGGCAACAAATTGTCAATGGCATTTTGGAAGAGAACAATTGTGAAAAAATGCTCTCCAATGTTATTACAAATGATAATATTCTTGAAGAATTTGCTGTGAGTGTACATACATACATTTAAATTATATATGTTTGTTTCTTGTATATTTTTTTTATTTTTTCTAGAATTGGGAAAACGTTGAACTAGAACAGAGAGATGAAAACGAAAGCACTATTCATTCCACATTTCGCATTCCCAATCAACCACGTATATCATTGCAGTCATATCTCTTTACATTGATTCGTGTGTTAAACTCAATTGTGCCACAAACTCTACCAGCGAAAGTTTTACACTACTTCAACCAAAAGATGTTGACCCAAATCATAGGACAGTATCAGAAAATTCTAAACGACAAGTTATCATGCAATCAAAACATCGCTCTGCAATTGTATTTCGATCTAAAATTCTTGCAAAACATATTTGGCGTTATGCGAGATGATCGGCAATTAAACGAGCAATTTGGTGCTTTACAAAATAACTGCAAGGATTTAATTGATCCTTTTGATTTCGAATTGTTCGCGGATCACATTTCAATCAATGTCAAAAAATCCGTAGCCAGATTTAATTGCCAATTCGGTGTGCTGACGCAAGTTCTGCCAGCGAATTTTACTACTACTGCTTCAACATTGCTGGTGCATGAGAAGGATCCGAATGTGCTCTCCTTAAGCTCTATTGGCTCAACAGCTGTGTGGTTCCCACTATTACCTATCGTTACACCAACACCTGCCGGACACTCTGAACGTAAAAGCAATGCTATCAACAGTGAGAAGGTAAATTTTTCAACATTACTTAGTATACATTATTTTAATTAAAATATGAAACAAACGGTACACTTTCGATTCTTCTTCAAGACTGTGATCTTTAAATTGTAGCTAAACACGCGTAAGCTAAATCTATTTTGGATCTGATAAGTATATTGTTTAATTTAGAGTTACTTTGTATCGTTCTTTCTTTCATTGCAAAATTTTGCTCGAAAAATCAGAAATCCCCAAATTAACTTCAAAACTGGCTAACATTTACTTTTAGCATACATTTCTATACCTAAATTGTTTTCCTTTGTGATAAAGTCTGCACCAATTTCACTTTCGTTGTTTTTTGAATTTGGTATGCTTTAAGTTAACTAATAACGCTTAGCTTATGAGCTATAATAACTGTGATAACTTGCTTTCATTTACCAGCATACATATGTGTAGCTTCGATTTCCATTAAAATGTCTTCTTATATTAAATACGCTTAACTTCCACTTTCAGATGTCGCCTGCACGCAAAGCAACTGCATCAACAGCTTCTTCGATTACTCAAGGTGGTAAGCTCAAAAGTGAGTCTAAATCCAAATCGGGTGCTGCTTCTTTTTTCGGTGCCATGTCACAGGATTGGTTTCGCTAAATGAGCTGCTCCAGCGTTAGTTTTATCCGAAAAAGGAGTATTTTCAGTTATCTAAACGCGTATATGTGTTAAACCACTGTTTGCTTGTATTAAATAAACACATCTACTTATACATGTACATATAAGTTTAACCTATATTTAGTCAAAATACTTATAGTATGTTTGAAAATCAATATCGCTATGAAATAGTATATTTTATTACTTGTAAGTTATCATTTTTATGAATGTTTTACGTACATACACATGTACATATGTACAATCAAACTCAATTTCTTCATAAACATTGCACATTTTGTTTATATACCACATTAGGAAATATAAAAGAAAATTTATGAAAATCATGGCAAGAGTTTTGACTGCAGTTTAGCCATAAGTTGATGTAAAAGTTTTTGAGTTTTTGAGGTGTGAGATGATTTCAATATAACAAATAATATATAGGGTTCCCGGGTCGAAAACTGCTATTTCTTGCCCCCTTTTTTGCCACCTCCTCCACCAGCTCCACCGGCTTTCTGCTCTTGACCTTTTTTACCGCCGCCCTTATCACTTCCTCCACCGCCTTTATTCTTGCTTCCACCTTTGTCAGCAGGAGCTCCTCCTTTTTTCTGCAAAAATTAGAATGCGAAATCGTTTAATTTCGGTATTTACAATGCAGGTAGAAGCTGTGTTCGGTGAAAAATGCCAGTATGAATTAGTAAGTCCCGAAATTGAGGGACGGAGAAATTTGCTGACTTTTTACCCAACAGGATTCAGTAACAATTAGCCAGCAAATTGTATAACAGCGGTTTATTTTGGCCGCTACATTTGAATGTGTACATTTTAGCTGCTTATTGTTGCTTTCTGCTTTCTTAAGTTATTTCATAGGTATTTTAATAAAAATAACAATTTATGGGGTTTATACTTTAATGCAATGATGTTGTTGTTGTTGTACTGGTTTGCAAAAATTATGTATGAAGCAAGTAGGAATACCGTTAAACTACAAAAATATGAGTATATAAATATATTATAAGTAAAATATATGTAAATTATGCTGAAAATGGTTGAAATACAAAAATGAGCTTGTAAGCCTCTTTCAGTAAAGCCGGCAATGTTGACGCATCTAAAAGGGTAGTAAGCTAATGCAATTTTCAACCGACGCAAGAAAAGGTTCTCAAATCGTTAGCAGTGTTGCCCATTTTTATTGGCTATAGCTGGATATTGGTCCAATCGCCAGTTGGAGAAAACATTTTAACCAGAGGAAGGATCCTCCCTTTCCCTTTGATGAATTGATTTGAACCTAAAATCACACGTAACCGTTGTCATGTGGTCCGATTGGATAATTTTTCCTCTAATATTTGAGGTATACTCTGGAGTCACAAAATTGAAAAATAATAAACAGAAACAGAAATTCTCAGCTTGAGGATAAGAATCTAAGTGTGGTTTATGGTGTATTTTGGTTGAGAAAAAAGTAATGAAAAGTGAGGTATGTTGTAATTAATAAATTACGGTCACACAAAATAATAAAATGAAAGCTCTATAAAAAAATCAAGCCGCCAAAAAAGGAATAACAGAAAATAATATTTATTTCATTTAACCGTAATAGCTTAATAATTTTGAGTTGGCGCTTAGCAAGCCATATTTAGAGATCACTAAAATATCTTAACCCCCTGCGGGTTAGGGGTTCAAGAGATCACCCGCAGTAAGGCATGCCTGTCGTAAGGTTCGACTAAAATGCAATAGTTCCCGCGATAGTCGGGTCTTTATACCGGAGCGGATTTTTATCCGGTCAAGGACTGTTACTCCTGCAATATTCCCTAAAAAGTACTTTGGGGAATAATTTTGCGGTTACAAAAACAACTAAAATATCTTAAATAAAAAACTAGCTTTTCTTGAATTGTTTTTTTTTTTTTTACGTTCCAGTGTAGTTAAATTCCCTTTGGACAGGTCTCACATATACATAAGTCCTCTACTACTGCAGGCTTCGAATCGCGCGCTACCTCACGTGTGCTTCTTCGGGTTGCTGTCTCGTTAAACTTCGTGAATACTTAACAAAGCCTAACTGCGCTTCTATAACGGCACTTTCGATTTTCAAAAAATAAGAAAAAAACTCGCCAAAAACTTCTTTAATTTCTGTTATATTGATGATCTCTAAAAGAGGTGTAAGGACGCTTTGTGCTCTTAGCAGTTCGAGGGAATGAAGGATATTTATGGAAACCGGCTTGGGGAACCAAGGACGTTTGCATTCCGACATTTGGGATCCTTAAACTGAATTTATATGTATGTATGTACATTTCAGCTATTGATCTACTCGTACGCACACACGCACATACATATGTACTTACAATGACAATATTTATTTCGCTTGCATAACACAAATTTTGCTTACATTTCCGCCGCCGCCGCCACCACCACCACCGCCACTACCACCGCCGCCTCCACTGTTTCCACCTCCGCCACCACCGCCCTTATTTTTCCCCATAAATACTACGGTTTATAACTACTACTAAATTGTATTTGTTGTAATAATTCAGTGAACTACAGACGTTCGAGCGGCTCGTGCTAATGCTGCACTTCCGAAACCGAAACTAAAGCAAAAATAGAATTTACAAAATTTTCATAAATAATTTCAAGTGCCACAGTTCCTAACGAAGGGAATAGAAACAGCACGTATATATGTACATACGTGTATGTATTGTAACCGCAGCGATTTTCGAAAACAAATGCAGTCTGCAACCGAATGAATAATAATTCTACACAAAAAAGAGGCGAGGAAAGCTAAGAAATGAGCGAACAAGCAAAGAAGAGGAATTGGTCATCAATGATGCAATTAGCAATAAGCACTTCTCGTGGCATTGCCCTTGTGTGTGTATCGTTGTCAAGGCCCCGCCACTATGATTTGGCCGTGATAAGGCGCCAGATGTCGGCTACCCGCTTGCAGGTGGCACTAAAAGAAGGCATGAAAGCAAAAGTGACAGAAATATTTGTACATAAGTACGCTGAGGATGGCCATACGCAAATGAGGAACATTGCATTAGGGTGTTTTTTTGTTTTCATGTAGAATTTAAAACTGATTTCGGCCAAGGGATTGCCGCAAATGGATCGAATAAATTCCAACAGAGAGGCCCAATTTTCGACCACCTTTTTGCAGCAATTGGGAACGTATGTTGGGAATGATGAATTCAAATACGCTCACCAATGGTTTGCTATAACAAATTGATTGCTTCGTGTTGCCACATCATTCCGTATTGAATAGCTCGTCTTGTAAACCATCGGTCCAGCCATGTTTAAAAAGCGGGCGATTGCTATTCGAACTTTTTCATGGTCGGGCAATCAAACATCTTTTCCATCGTCGTCGATTGGTAATCGGGATCACCATATACTAATTGTTGCAATTTCACTGCTATTCAGCAGGCTGAAAAAGGTAGGACATGAATGTCGTAGAGGCAACGAAACTCCAATAGCTCCCGCAATAGTCGGGTCTATATACCGAAACGACTTGGATTTATATCCGGCCAAGGACTGTCACTCCAGTAATCTTCTCCGAAATCCAATTCGGGGAATATTTTGCAGTTTCAAGAACAACAAAAAATACATCAACATTGTAGAAATCTTCTGTTAGTCGTCGTATCTTTTCGTCAATTTGTCGAGCACTCGCCAACCGCGGCCGACAATTACATAGTCGTTCATGCAAATAAATATGACAGTCGCTTATGCCAGAAGCCGGCGTACTTTTTCTAATATTGGTTAAGTAAAAAGTTCGTTCGGTTTTTATCTAAGAGATGCCGTTATTGTCCATAGTACTAGTGTTACGTGTCTCGTATGCCATACTATACGGCGCTGAAAACGTGTTTATTCGCACTAAAAGTTTGTCTTTCACAGTTTTTCGATTGATTGGCTCAGTACGTTGTGAGCCCTCGTCAAAGATGGACACCAGGAAAGAGAAAATTCGCTATTTTTTTACAATTTTTCTTCGATCAAGGCGAAAAAACAGCCAAAGCGGCTGAAAAAATTAATTTAGTTAATGGGCCCGATACAGTAAACGAACGTGTAGCACAAAAGTGATTTGTCGAAGATGCACCACGCGTTTCTGAAGCGGATTGTGACTGGCGTTGAAGAATGGGTCACTTACGGCAACATCGAGCGCAAACGGTCGTGCTCAAAGCTCGGAAGAGCGGCTCAGACGGTGGCCAAGACCGGATTGACGGCCAGGAAGGTTTTGCTGGGTGTTTAGTGGGATTGGCAAGGAATCATCTACTACGTGCTGCTCCAATATGGCCAAACGCTGCCAACAAATGGAACGCTTGAAGACAGCGCTCATCCAAAAGAGACCATTTTTGATCAACAGAGGCCGAATTGTGTTCCATCAGAGCAACGCCAGGCCACAAACGTCTTTGATGACGGGCCAGAAGTTACAGGTGCTCGGATGAGAGGTCCTAATGTACCCACATTATAATCCGGACCTGGCATCAAGTGATTACCATATTTTCCTGTCCATGACGAAGGCGCTTAATCGTGAGAAGTTGGCCTCAAGAGAGGCCTGTGAAAATTGGCTCTCCGAGTTTTTTTGCCAATAGGGACGCAGCCTTCTACGAGAAGAGTATAATGAAGTTGGCATCACATTGGCAACAAGTTTACACGAATAAAACGGCGCATATCTTATCATATCATATTTTGAAAAATCAATAAAAAACCGAACGAACTTTTCACTTGACCTAAAATAGAAAATTACAGACCAACTCTGATTATGAAAACCTTGCGATTTACTCTTTTGTCAACTTGTTTTACAGGTTCACAATTTTGCATCATACAATTTACTCAAATATAGCATAAGGCACTTGATAGAGACCGGAGAGGAATAGATCAATTCGATCATTGACTCTTAATTTGTACATAACAAAATTTACGTGTCCCTCAACAAAATACTCCTGCATTTTTATTACAAATAAATTGATTAATATTATTTTCGAATGTAAGAGTGTAAGTGACATATGCACATCTGTATTAATATAAGTGTAAGTACTTGAGCGTGATTAAGGGTATACATTTGTGACTTTCTCCTATGCTGATTAATGTACATATACTTATGTATGTATATATATAGATGTATGTTTGTATCACGCAAATAATTATTATGTAATTGCATTTCTAGGTAACCGAACTAAACCAATAGAGCTAATTTGTAAATTAAGCATCGCTAAGCAGGCTCCATTGACTTCTAATAAAGCACACAAAGAGTCCGCACTTTTGCCTGTGTATGTGAATGTGTATGTATGTATGTGCACCTGCACAATCGTACACAATCGCAGACAATAGTGAATTATGTAGGTGAGTGCCAGGAATTGAAAGCATATCGAAAACACATCAGCTCAATTGAATGGCACTCATTCGATCATTTTGCCATGATTGCCAAAGTGCATTTAATACCCATACATATGCATTCACCCTCCTTATTGCCTTTTTCTTTTTTGTAAACACTCAAGCATACTCCTATGTACATATGTGTGTACATACATATGGACATGAATATATTTCGGATATTGAAAAGCATTGGCACGCATCAGAGGTAATTGTTCATTTGATGCTGGGCAAAGAACCATAAAAGAATGCCATTATGTTACTTGACTTTTCTTCTACGTTCTCCATTCCTTCTCTCCTCACACTCGTACTTTCAACTCAATTGTTAACATGAAATGTCAAAATACAAAAAAAAAAGTTTTAGGAGCATTTTTGGTTCAATGTATGCATATGCGCGCTGCAAGTACATTCATGTACACATACCTTGTTGAAAGAGCTGCCATGTGCGAATTCTCTTGCAGCAGAATGCACCATGCCCATGGCACGGATACCCTAACCAGTCCATCTTACATAATTTTCCCATGTTAACCGTTGTTATTTTCACATGACAGGGCTTTGCTGGCCATGAATATCATCTATCAGATCATGCATCAGCGATATACTGGTATAATACCAGTTTACGCGTAAATCGCACTCAAAATACACTCTCACGCATCAAAGTATTACTGGCGGCCTCTTTTATGAATCCAGTACCTATGCTCTTTTTACTGTAATCAAATGAACTGCTAAAATTCTTCTACCCGAGAGATTCGCATAGCATCAAACCTGAAATGCCGCTGCGATAAGAAGCATTTTTAGCAAAAACTTGAACTTTTCGTCCCAGGGTGTACTTGTCTGACTCTATGTTCTTTCGCAGTGCCAACACATGTTTATTGTTGTAAGTTTAATTTCAATGAAGCTCACTGCAATTTTACTTTTCATTCTGATTATTTGTTCGATTTCACCAATTTGTATATGCAACCTACCGCCAACGCTCCTTTTACAAACGGAACACCATTTCCACTCACATAAATACATTGGCATTGCAGAGCTTGCGTTGCGATTTTAATTTTGTATGCCCAGTGATGTTTTCGACATTCGATTTGGTGCGATTTCATCCGGTGATGCGATTTTTCGCACTCAATTGCACTGTCAAGCTGCGAGATGAGGACCGACATTACTACATATTGACTTTTTATTTCTGACTTCACAGTCGATAAATTCTCAAGGACCACATTCAATAGCTAAATGAATGAATAAATGATTTTGAGAGAAAATAAATAGATAGTTCAATTTCAACAGCCATCATTCGAGTACGAAAGTGGGAAATGGTAAACGGAAGAAAAGCAGACATATCTTTTGATTACGAGGGGTAAATATCAAATTTAAGGCAACGCAATCAAATTAAATTTATTTTCGAACAAAAAACAAATTACAGTTTTCTTAATTAATTATTAATGGATGTATGTATGTATATACATATTTGTCTCTAATCCAAGGGCCGCAAACCAATGTTAAAGAATATTAATTTTTTTCACTCAAATATGACGAGCCTTGTGCCTTATAAAGTATTTTTGCGTGGAGCTCTCCATCACCACTTTAATATGAAGAAAAGCGCTGCTAAAAGTCATCGTATTTTGGTTGAAGGTTATGCTCTAGCTGAGCAAAAGTGTCAAGAGTGGTCAGCCCGATTAAAAAGTGGTGATTTTGGTTTCGAAGACGAACAACGTCCTTACTTACTTACTTTATTGGCGTAGATACGGCAAAATCCTTCTCTACCTGGTATTTTCAACGGAGCTCTTCCTTTTAGACTGCTTCCACCGGCGGGTACTGCATCGAAAACTTCCAAATCTAGAGTATTTGTATCCATCCGCACCACATGACCTAGCCAGCGTATCCACTGCTTCTTCATTCTCTGAACTATATCAATCTCGCCATATAGCTCGTACAGCCCATCGCTCTATCGTCTGCGATGTTCGCCGTTGCCAATGCGCAAAGGACCATAAATCTTACGCTAAACCTTTCTCTCGTAAACTCCTAACGCTGAATTTGGTCTTTGTTCGTCGGGAGATGACTTTACTTTTCAATTGCCTACTACAACAGGGCAGGGAGCCTAGGACAGCCAAATCAGATGGAAGATGAAGAACTGAGTAATGCATAGAAGATTGTTGCCAAACACAAGAAGAGCTCTCAGGATCTTTGGGAGTCACTCAAGCAGCCATTTCAAAACGTTTAAATGCAGCCGGATATATTTGTATGCAAGTAAATTGGGTGCCAA